GAGTCGATTTGCTTCAACTGGAGGTTAAGAGACGGGTAGGAGATGACACCTGTTTCCTGCGGTGTATCAGAAAGCCAGAGAACTTCTCCATAACTTAGGTGGGTGAATTGCAACAGTAAACACAAAGCATGATCTATTTTCATTCAACAAAGAAGATGTAAAACAGAAGCCACTCTGATCAGTGGGAAAATAAAGAAAATGAAGAAGCCAAGTTGAATATTTGGTCTGATTTCAGACGCTCCAAATGTATCTCTTAAAACAAAAGCCTGTGAGCATAACTGAGACATACTTGCACATTACTGAAGTAACTGAGATGTGCTCATACATAATCTGCAATGTGGAAATCAAGTCTGTTTGACGTACTTGGCCCTCAAGTGTTCTGTGGGGTGTTGATATCATTTTGGATTGCGAATGATGTACACAGCTTACATTACAAAGCTTTTGGAACTGGAAACTCGTGAATTTCATATGTTTGTTCGTTTCTTTTAAAGCTCTGTGACACAGGAGAACAACTCCATGTGTACATTTTAGCACAGAAGCAAAAAACCTATAAAGGATTTAGGTCTACGAAATTCCTTTATTTAACAACTTGCAAAGAAAAAAGGAGAAATTATAAAAACCATAAAGTCTTTACTGTAACAGATTAGAAAGGGGAGGTTTTTCCATGCTTAAGTCATTCTACCCTCTATCAAACAGTGTAGATATGAAAAGCGCTCTGTTTGCTGAATCACATATAACTGGGATCTAGCAATATTATGTGTTGGTATAGCTACTCTTCAGCTTGTAAATGTGATAGAAGCTGTGAAGAATAGTAAATATAATTTCTTCTTGCTAAAAGTCCCCAGCCTTCTCTTGGTTTTTTTATTTTCTAAGTTCTGTAATTGTAGATATTCGTAACTATATGTGGGTTAAATTTAGTTTGCAATTTCTGCCAAAAAAATTTTAAAAAACAACCTTTCATCACTGTCAAATTATGTGGTTTAGGTTTTTTTTCTCTATATAAAAACAAAACAAAACACAAACATATGTTTTATTTTCTCAAGAATCCCTACGCAAAAATGAAATGTGGTCAAACATCATTAAATTATTCCCTCAGGGAGATTAAGTCTTCTCAATCCTAACATTGGCAGTGTTTCTTAGGACACGTAGCTACTCTATAGCAATAATTCTCAGCAGAGAGCAGTTGGTATGCCTTCTACACACAGAAAATAAATCATAGTAAAGCCTGCTATTTGAGGATTTTCTGTTTTTTCTGTGCAACCCTCCATGCTTCATTTCTCAGGTCAGATGAGTGTATCTTTGACATTGTGGCACTTGGGCCTATCATTCTAAATACATCAAAAGACAAACAAACAATAAAAAAAAAAAAAAGGCAACTATCCAACAAGAAGTTTCTGGGCTACAGGTTTTATAGGTTTTCAAGGGAGAAAAAAGTATTTTTCAGACAAGCCTGGAGTAAAGGTCTAATTTGAATGATCCTGGGGAGAGGAAATGCACTTTTACTGCCCTGATGTCTGTGTTTTGACTCTCTGTGTGCAGGTGTTGAAAAGAGAAGGCATATATGAGTGCTTCAATTTGTGGTCCCTGCCAGCCCCTCGCCCAGATTTCTATCTCCACCCAAACCCTCAGTTGTTTTCCGTAACTGTGCACAGCAATCCACAGGAACTGTGCTCTTCATTCTGTACACTACAGAACGCGTTCAAGATCAGATTGCGTGGAAGTGGGACAGGAGAGGCAGTTTCTCAGCGGCTCAGAACCTAACCCAAACTTTTGGGGAGGAAGAAATGTTACCAATTGGGTGGCCTCTCCAGTCCATCTGTTCACATTTTTTGTAGGGATAAGTCTCACTTGTGAGTAGCCAGCACCAACCCTAGACAAACAGAATAGGCAGAACTTGTCTTTAGCTATTTCACACTTCTCTTTTCAAGTTAGAATAGAAATTCAAGCAAGGGTAGTATCAGGTGGTTCTGACGGACGATGTTTCCAGGCGTCCTCCGCTGGTGTGCGTTGTGTGTGTAGTTGCAGGCACGGCGGGCTGATGGGCAAGCAGCGCTGTGTGAAAAGGGAAGCGTGACACTTCCTCCGGGCCTTGCAATCAAAGATAGACTCCAACTTGATTGACTCTAAACCTACTTCCCACTTAATTAGGTAGGATCGGTGATCTTGGTAAAGAATAAAATAAAAGTACGGGTCTTCCCAGAAGGAGTTGTAGGAAATCTTCCCTAAACATAAATTAAGGCTTAGTGGGCACATTTCCATTGTTCCTTTTGAAGACTGGGTATATAGGCCCATTGTAACCGGTAGCACTCATAAGTAACAACTACCGTAATTAGAAACACACTACAAATACACAGGTGTCAGGAAAAATCCAGACCCTAGCTGTATTACATCATGAATTAATTCTGTTATATTACATCAGAATCATGGTCTCTCTGGGGGGGTCAGAAGATTTAATAACTTTGCCAAGTTGCCTGGGAAAAAAAACAGTGAAATCCTATGTATTTTTGAAGATAAGTAAACTCTGCTGCCATCAGACCCTCCAGATTTGGAATGGGATAATGACTAATTTGACTGTGAAATCAGTACAGTAGAATTTTTAAAAACTGAAATGAAAAGTAAATTTGATCGCTGATTTGCCTGCGTGCCTCCCTAATAGCTTGTTTCTCAGTCTTCATTCATTTTGCTCAATCCACCTCTAATCTCAAACATGTTCTGCTGTGGCACAGCCTGTTCGGCCCCTGTCAGGCCTCTCAGTGGTTCTGTGTCCCTTGTACCCCTGACCTTCAAAACAATTATAGAGTAACCAGCTTGGTCTTGCCAGTATCTTAGAACCCTCGGGTTGCATGAAATAGGACTCAGCTCCAGCTAAACAAAAGAGAAGAATTTATTACAGACACACTTTGAATCAAGACATGCTTCTGGGCTCCAGGATGAACCTGGACAAGTGCCAGAAAGATGTCATGAAAGCGGGAAGTCAGCACTTCTTTGATTCTGCTTGTTTCCTGTCTCCTTCACCAGAATGCAGAGCGTCCGAAGGCTGGGCAAAGACTTTATTATGAGTGGGGGTTTTTGGTTTTGTTTTGTTTTTGTGAATTGGTTTCTCGACCTCTATATTCTTAGCACCTTAGACAAGTACTGAGCATCTGAATTCATATTGAGTGACTTTGCAGGACCCATTCTTACTTAAATTCGCAGAGACAGTAGAGCTTTGAAACCTTAATCTCCGTGGCCTTCTCCAGTTGCAGAAATTTACTGGCTGCTCTGTGGCTCTATCCTCAGCTTGTTGTCAGGGTGCACATGAATGATAACAGCACTAAGTCACTGATGGTGGATGAGCGGCAATTGGCCCGAGACGTTCTAGACAACCTTTTTGAGAAAACCCATTGTGACTGCAACGTAGACTGGTGTCTTTATGAAATATACACAGAACTGCAAATTGGTAAGTCCCATCCCCCATAATAGACTGCTCCAGAAACCTGTGGGTTTGCTTTATGATGGGTTTTGGTCTCTTATTAAGAAGAATTTGGTTCAAGGCTATCAAGACTTGGCACAAATCACTCCCCTTATGTCAGATTCAGTGCTTGCCTCTTCATTTCTCTGTGGTGAAGAGACTCGGATTGTTGCAAGTGGCCACACCTTGGGGGAGGTCAGGATTATCTTTTTTTTCAAGATTTTATTTATTTATTTGACAGAGAGAGACACAGCGAGAGAGGGAACACAAGCAGGGGGAGTGGGAGAGGGAGAAGCAGGGAGCGGGGAGGGAGCCATCCAGGCACCCCAGGACTGAGCAGGGAGCCCGATGCGGGGCTCGATCCCAGGACCCCGGGGTCATGACCTGAGCCAAAGGCAGAGGCTTAACGACTGAGCCACCCAGGCCCCCCTGAGATGTCAGCATTATTATTGCCACTTCTCTGGTGGTTCCATAAGGAAAACAAAGTGACAGGATGATACCTCTTGCTGCATGCTTAGTAAATTGAGCAGATTGTGGGAGGGCCTGCGTATCTGCAGCTAATATCTCTTTAGCGTTTGCTTCTTTAAACTATAGCGTAACTCTGCCGTACATCAATGTTCATTTCTCCTCCACCATCCCCACTCACTTTGTCGACTTGACGAGGCTTAGCCCCAAAGAGCAAAAGACAGTTGGTAGAAATTAATGAAGTTTAAAAAAAAAAAAAAAAGTAAAAAAGCAATTAAAGAAATATTCTTGTTACTTCTCCTTGTCATTGTTAAGGTCACTCAGAACAGTTTTTTCTCTCAGGAGAGCTTGGTGGAATACAGAATTGCCTGCTTTAGAAGCTTTCAGTGAATTTTTTTTTTCTGAAGTAAAAGTTCTACACTGAAATCTCTTGAAATACTTTTTAACTCTCTGAGTCAAATAGAGAAATGAAAGCCTTCCTTTATGTTTAGGTTTGGTTCAGATATGCATACATTGTTTTTAGAGTCTTCAGGGGTGATGTTTTAGAGCACATATCAGATGTCTCACAATTTCATTCAGAGTTGTTTGGCCAATTATTGCTTCATGGTCCTCCTTACGGATAGGATGTTTACCTCCATCTGGGACTATTTAAAGTCAGAAATGCTAATAAGAAAAAAGTGCAGTGACTGGCCATTATCACGATATTGTATGTTCATCTGCCATGTTTTTTTTTTATGGCAAATAAGTTGACCTGATACTGAATAAGAAATGTAATAGGGGTGTTACAATATGACATCATGTAAGAATTAGGAATTTCTAAAAACCAATGAAAGGTTGGAAGCATTGTGTTTAACTCAGTACTAGCTTATTTCTCTGTTGGAAAGCCTAATGTTTTGGGTCCAAAAGAATGCTTTTTCTTGTTTCATCAGAAAGGATTTTTGAAGACCATGAAAATGTTGTTGAAGTCTTATCAGACTGGACAAGAGACACAGAAAATAAAGTGCTGTTTCTGGAGAAAGAGGAAAAATATGCTGTATTTAAAAACCCCCAGGTAAGATAACTTGTATATAGTTAAACCATATAAAGTATAGAGGATTTTTTTTTTTTTTTTAGTGTCACCTGTATACTAACAAACATCATTTACTGTCTCACAAACTACTGCAAATGTATTTCTTTAAAAAAACACAAACCCAACTCTTAGGTCATATGTCAACTAATAGGCCCCTGAAGGATTTAGAAAGAAAAGAAACCCATTTGTTTCTTTGGATTCAGCATCCAAAGCATATCTGTCTGTTGACTAATCCTCTTCTTCTGTCCTTATTTCCATTTGGCTACATAAATTCAAGGTACCTTGATGCACAAAGGGTCATTAATGCTTCGTGTTTTAAAGACACTCCTTTTTGCTGTTGTTAATATTTGGTGCTTATTGATGCTGGGATAACTAAAGAGAGCACCTAGAAAATGTACAGTTTATTGTGATTCAATTCTACAAACAGTCTACATAATAAAAAGCATTGTTCTCCATATCTGAAAAGGCTTCCCCCAAGTCATATGTACAAGGATGTCACAGGAGCATAGGCCTTTTCCCACTGAGGTCTCCAGCCAACCGTAGTTGCGTGAGGGTCATTAAGTCTTTTTCGGAAAGTCAAAGAATGTTAGACACAGACGAGATCATTGGGGACATCCAGACACCTTCATATTTTACAGGTTAAAAGAACTAAGTCCTGGGGTGCCTGGATGGCTCAGTCAGTTAAGTGGCCAACTTTTGCTTTTGGCTTGGGTCATGATCTCAGGGTCCTGGGATCGAGCCCTGTGTTGGGCTCCATGCTTAGGGGGTAGTCTGCTTGAGGATTCTCTGTCTCCCTCTTTTTCTACCCCTCCCCCTGTGCGCTCTCGCTCTCTCTAAAACAAATCAATCTTTAAAAAAAATAAGTCCCATATCACTAGAGGCAGAAATAGAAGGGTACTCTCAGCTTCCTCATGAGAAAATATTCTTTCCCTTGCACTGTGCTTTTTTCTAGAGTCACCTCTAGGTTTTGTGGTGGCTCACTGACAACAAAGCAATTAAAGATACTATTGTCTTTGACAAATAATGAACGGTAAAAGTACGGTTGACCCTTGAATAACACATTGGGGGTTCGGGGAGAGGTTAGGGGCATCAACCACCTATGCAGTTGAAAATCTGTGTATAACTTTTCACTCCCCAGAAACTTAATTACTAATAGCCCACTGTTGACTGGGAAGCCTTACCAATAACATAAACTGTTAATTAACACATATTTTGTATGTTATATGTCTTATATAATGTGTTCTGACAATAAAGTAAGGTAGGAAAAAAAATTATTAATAAAATCATAAGGAATAGAAAGTATGTTTATAGTCCTGTACTGTACTTATCAAAAAAAATCTGTGTATAAATGGACCTTGAGTTGTTCAGGGATCAACTACACAAAGTTTTCAAACCATAACTACCTTCAATGGCATGATTTAATGCCTGTTATTTAGGGTACCATCTCAGCTTCTGTAACAAAGAGACTCCCCAAAATCAGTGGCTCAAACCAGCTAGAAGCTTAATTCTTCCTCACATACCAGTCCAGACATAGGGGGCTGTGCCGTCCTCAACACGTGGCTTCTATCTCTGGGCCCAGGGCAGCTATTTTCACCTGGCCATTTTCTAGTCCTTAGGGAGGGAAGAAAGAGCCAGGGAAGTGTACAACCAGATTTCTTACTAGAAAGACCTAGAAATGACACTTTTACTTCTGCTTCCATCCCATTAGCCAGCACTTAGTTACATGGTGATATTGAGCTACACAAGAAGCTGACAAAAGCAATCTCTATCTGAACAACCGTACACATAACTACAACTGGGAGTTACATTCAGAGTCCCCACCTTCTACAGTTCTTCCAGAAAGAAACACTCACATTGAGTCTATAAAAATGGTGCTCAAGAGTTGTGTAACATGGCCATAGTATTGTATTAACCAAGAGGAGGAGGAGGAAAATGGGTGTTAGTGGATCTGCAGCTTGTCGTGGCATCTAATGCATCAGCACACAAAACATAACTGCACACTATGAATGTTTACAAAGTGCACATCCCATTTAACTGCCACGCGTGTCAAGATAAATAGTATACCAGCAAGGGGGGCCTGGGTGGCTCAGTTGGTTAAGACACTACCTTCGGCTCAGGTCATGATCCTGGAGTCCCGGGATCGAGTCCCGCATCGGGCTCCCTGCTCGGCAGGGAGTCTGCTTCTCCCTCTCACCCTCC